CAATCAGATGTGAAAACACCCGTTCAATCCATGGTCCAGAAGTGGTTCATTTGAAATGTAAAACGGTCGACAGCGACAGGAAGCATCAGTGACAGCACATACAGAGATTGCGGTATACATGACAGAAATTAGTCGTACCTCTGCACTCCCCTTTTCTTCCCCCCTAATGGACAAACTTTTCAATGTGGTCCCTGGTTTTGATATCACATCTGCACCTGGCTCATTCTGGACCAACCTCACTCTCCATCAATGTCAATTAGGTAACAGCCAATTCAGGAGAAATGGGCCTGCACTGTCTGTACCTCCGCAGGGTGAGCAACATCTTTGTTTTTGGGTGAGCGAGTGAAAGAGGGCTGTGTTTTTTTCTGTCACTTGCACAGAGAGTGTTTCTTTTTCTCTTTATTTCCCCGCTCTCTTCCTCTTGTGGGATGGAGTGGATGAAGCCTTTGTGCTGAGCTCGAGGTGTCATCGCAAAATTAGAAATAATTTTTCCCTCTAGAAGAAAGAAATTGGGGTATTATTCACTTTCTGTATTACTTAGTGTTTCTGTCTGGTAAAAAGCAGTTTATGAGTTTTTAATGAAAGGATACTTATGAATCCTTTATATTATTTTCGCACTATGCTTTTTTAAAATTCTTCTTAGACATGCGCCAAATCTGCCTGGAAGCTTTTTCGAATCGCAGGCTTTTTGTTTCTTGTCCATTTCCCTCTGGGTGAGGTCTGCTTCACTTTATCCCGTGTAATAATGACATCCGACCAGGAGCTCAGGCAGCAAATCTGGGCTCCGCTCTCTGTAGCAGTTTTCTCCCACCGAGGTACACAGCAGTGACGAATAACTGACAGTGTTCGCAGGACGAAAGTGCTTCTGTGGGAGCAATCCACACTCACATACCAAGTGATCTGCAGTGAACTTTCAGCCAGAGGAGATATTTATAAAACTTGTCAGCAAGATGACAGGCCTCAAATCGGAACGTTATTTGCGATATATACTTAGTACGGTCAAATTTTCCAATATTGACTTATTTCTTTTCCCAGGCTGACCATCTGAAACAACCTCTGTGAGACAGCAGGAGTCTTTGACACACTTTCGTTTAGCATTTTCCAGACAGCATGCAAGTCAATTCTTTCAACGTTTTTTTTAAATCATTCGTACCACTTGAGTTTCTCACAGTCTGTTGCAGAACAATGGCGAACTTCGGCAGATACTGATGAGGATTTATGTGATGAACCAACACAAAATAGTAGAAGGAAAATGATCCATCCATCCATTGGAGCTGGGCAGATCGAACTAAAGAATCGATTAGTATTAGTTGCTGGTTTGGGCTTGACACAGAGACAGACAGGACAAACAACCATGCACACACACACACTCACACCTAGGGGAGGAACCAGAAAAAACCCATGCATGCACAGGGAGAACATCCAAGGTCCGTGCAGAAAGATTCCGGGCCGGGAATCAAACCCAAGACCTTCTTTCTGCAAGGCAACAGTGATATATATATATATATATATATATATATATATATATATATATATATATATATATATATATATATGGGAGGACAAGCCCCTACATGGGATGTACCAACAGCAAATAACCCAAGTGTCTGATATCAGTAAATCCTACCAATGGCTGTAAAAAGCTGGACTCAAGGACAGCACAGAGGCCCTCATCCTGGCCGCCCAGGAACAGGCCCTAAACACAGAGCAATAGAGGCCCAGATCTACCACACCAGACAAGACCCAAGGTGTAGGTTGTGCAAGGAGGCCCCTGAGACAGTCCAGCACATCATAGCAGGGTGCAAGATACTGGCAGGGAAAGCGTACATGGAGCGACATAACCAAGTGGCAGGCATAGTGTACAGAAACATCTGTGCAGAATATGGACTGGAAACCCCAAGATCAAAGTGGGAAACACCCCCAAAGGTGGTAGAGAACACCAGAGCTAAGATCCTGTGGGACTTCCAGATCCAGACAGACAAAATGGTAATGGCGAACCAACCAGACATTGTCGTAGTGGATAAACATCAGAGGAAAGCCGTTGTGGTAGATGTAGCAATACCAAGTGATTGCAACATCAGAAAAAAGGAGCACGAGAAACTGGAGAAATACCAGGGCCTCAGGGAAGAACTGGAGAGGGCCTGGAAGGTGAAGACCACAGTGGTGCCTGTGGTCATCGGGGCCCTCGGGGCAGTAACCCCCAAACTGGAGCAGTGGCTACAACAGATCCCAGGAACAACATCAGACATCTCAGTCCAGAAATGTGCAATCTTTGGCACAGCCAAGATACTGCGCAGAACCCTCAAGCTCCCAGGCCTCTGGTAGAGGACCCGAGCTCAGAGGATAAGAACCACCCACGGTGGGTGAGAAGGGAATTTTTATATATATATATAAATATATATATATATATAGTAGGTATCAGTACAGGCCCTGAATGTAGGTGATATCAAATCAATACCAATGTATCACCTCTGCAATACATACATGTCTTGCTACTAGTTAACGCAGTAAACAACCGTTACACTGTTCTGCCCAAAACCAACAGTGGAACAAACAGTTTTTCAGTTTGTTCCACATACGTGTGTTTTTGTGTTTGTTTTCATCTCCTTTTTACTCTTTTACCCTGAAAGTGCGGTGTAGCCTCGTGCATTCGAAGATTACCTGATCAGTAGACTCTAAATATGTGTGATTTTTATCTCAGAATACACAGAGCGGTTCTGTGATGGAAGGTTGTGGAGAAGTATTGGGCGTAGGTTTAGATTACAAAACAATATTCAAAGCGTCAACAGGGCCTGGCTGGCAATGACGCTGAGGTTCGTTGGATTGCACCCCAAACAAACATTCATTTAATCATCAAACTTCAAACAGAGAGAGGTTTAATCACTGCGACGAAAGCTGCAGCATGCTAATCAAGTCGCACGGATACTCGTCTCCTCGATGTGCAGGCAGGCAGCTTGGTCCTCGTGGATGAGCTTTTATGTCTTTTCATGCTGTTTTGACTCGGCTGAGCGATATTATTCCATTCAGAGATAATGCAGTTTTCACCACAGCCTCTCAGGAGTGAGGGGCTCGCAGAATGAGGCTTAGAGGATGAAAGAACCTGAGAGAATAAAGTTATTTCTCGTCAGAATACCAATGCCTTTTTGGTATCCTTGGCGCCACTGAAAGATAAACTCTCAACAACGGAAAAAACGGCACACCTTTTCTCTTCGCGTTTCTTTAGATGAAGTGACTTCCTTTGGTCGTGATCCTATCCGTCGTCTCCTTCATTGTGACTTGAGCGTGCGATTGCTCACGCACAGCAAGCAGAATCCCTGAAGTGTTAAAGCATTATTTCCTTCAGACCTGGAGAATATTTGAAAAAGACACCATAAACTCAAGGTTTTATCTATTGACCGCTGTCAACGCGACGTTAACACTATACAACACACCACACAATACCTTTCACTGTAGTACCAGGAGATGGCGTCTAAATTATTCTCTTAAGGAATTTTATTTCTGAGCTCAAGCAGAAACCATGGTCCCAGTCAAGGTTGCAGTGTACGATGAAGGTACCCTCCCTCATCCTGCGTATCCCAGAGGTAGATTTAGAGGGGAGGCGTAAAATTTATTGCTGTTTAATTTGGATTTTTCTTTTTAGAAGTGTGCCAGAAGGCAAGTGGTCACACTTAAGATAATGGACAGTGATAAGTCTGTCGAAACTCACCTCACCAGTCAGAAACCCCCCGCTCCTCCCCAAAAAACCCAACTGCTCATAAATCTCATAGATCCCCCGGTTCAATGACAGACGACGTGACGGAGCAGTTCATAGGTCATGACGGACCTGCAGTGCCAGCTCCCCCCCTCACGGCGCCCACCTAGCGATGCTTCGGAGCGCGGCCAAAGAAAATGCGACGATCTTCTTCCGTTTGACACTAAACACCTTCAGTTTACAGGAGAATATACAACCTTTGCTGTAAACAACGACACAGAGTGACAGTGGGATGTTCCCGTCTGAAAACATGAGTGGGCTGAGTGCCGAGCCAAGATGCGATTCTCGTCATTCTGCCGTTTCCTTTTTATTCATTTGCAGTGCAGATGACAAAAAAATATGACCTTTAAAGACTAACAAAGGAGGATGCTTAAACACAAGTGTTTAAAAAAAGTGAAACGCAGAAGTGGAGAGGGAAAATAAAACAATTTAGTAGGTTGTAGAACCTGGAGCAATCTTCTTATATCTGACTTTGTTAGACTACTTATAGTTCGGCTCACAATGATCCATGCCAACTCCAGATTTAGATTTAAAACGACTTTCATTTAACCAAAGAGTTTGTTTCTATCAGGAAATGAGACAAGACCTCTCAGAAGGTACTAAAACAAGGTGAAACGAGTATGAATAATAATAATAGTCGACATGTTACTAGAATGAAACAGCTTAGCTTGAAACCTAAATCAATAAATAATATTTGGAATGATCTGTTGCTTCTGTACCGTATTGCTTTGATTGACAAACAACCAGGTTCAGATAAATGCTTACCCCACAGTAGACGCCTCAACTCCCAGCTAATCAGAGAAATTTGTGGTCATCAGTCGTTGAGTGTGCAATGACCATCAGGTACATATGATGTGACGTGATCTGGAACGTAAGCCAAAAACGAAAATAAAGACGATAACTGTGCATCTACACAATTTTAATATTTAAGTTGGACTCCATCCAGAACCCCTGTGTTGATCTGCTGGCAATAAATGTTTTCACACCACTCAACTTTTCACAAAATAATAATAATGAAAAGAAACCCTGAGGCACAGTGGGAACCTAAACAGATCCCTTCTTTCTCTTGGCTGTGACGTAAGTCACGGCTGATTTGTGGTAAAAATGAGGTTGTGGAAAATCTCTTTTTATAGAAGCAGAAACCGTAGCGAGACGTGAGAAATACAGTCGAGAAAACAGACAGGAATTTAGAAAATGCTATGTTTTCTTTTTTTCTTGTTCATTTTTTTTAAAGAGATGGACAAATCTGTTGAAGCAAATATTGTTTATTATTTCATAATACAAATAACAATAGATATACAACATAAGCCGAGCCAAAACATTAAATCGCGATCCAGCAGAGAGAGAGAAAAAAAGATATTTAAAAAAAAGATACGAAAATATACATATATATATATATATATTGGTTTATGTTTTTTTACATAACAGCAGCACAGCTCAAAACCACACGACTGTAAGCTTGAGTGAAAAAAATAAAGAAAAGGAAGAAAGTGACCATCGCAAGAAATGAAAGCACCGGCGACTGTACAGGGAGAACGCTCTGAAGCCAAACAGTCTCACTCACTGCCAAACTTTGACGCATTATTGGAAATTTATATGATGCAACGAAACTAACGGTGGAGTTTTCAAAAGTGAAATTCTGAAAAGTGTGGTGTGAATTTGAACTACTTTACCTCTCACTGCTAGACTGGAACATGGGGCTTTAATCTTCTTAGCAAAAAATAAATAAAAAATAATAACCCTTACGAGATGAAAAGCATCTGTGAATAACAATTTTCAAGACCCCCAGAATTTAACATGATTTCTGTTCTAACATATGAACTTTCTTATGATCTAAACAATTTCAGTTATATTGCAGGTCTGGCTGAGTGTTTCAGGGTTAGTTTCTGTTCTAAGGTTACTGGAAGGTGCAGCTTAGTCACAGTCTCAAGTCATTAGAACCTGCTGAAATTATTTTTTGTTTGTTTTCAGCAGAACTAGCTACATCTGATCGCTCATTAAATCTGACCAGCTTCCTTATCATTCCCACAGCATGATGCGGCCACTGCCATGTGGATGCTCTGTTTAGGGTGATGTGCAGTATTAGTTTCCAAGTTTGTATGTGGCCTCATTTTAAAATTTGGGCAGCATCTTCTGTGTTACCACTTGTTGAATGTCGATCTTTCAAAGTGAAATCCCAACAAGGTGCGTTAAAGTCAGTGAATCAGCACAGTCATCATCACCGTGGTTATAAGTTGTTGGGCTCATGTTGTGTGATTTATTGTTTTTTGTGCTGAGGTAAAGCTGCACACTGTAAGACCTTGGCATAATTCATGTGATCTTGGATTGAATTCTTAAAAAGAAAAAACGTTTTTTGCCTTTCGAGCAAAAACCTAGGTCTGTGGTGTTTTTAGGAGGAATTTCAGGCAACACAGCTTCAGAAGTGACAAAACAGCAGCAAGCTATATGTACAAGGCAAGGCATTCTCAGATGTGTGAATGTCGGCTTTAGTGTTTCAAATATATACAAGCAGATTTTCTCACAATAGATGTACAAACACTTTACAGTTACAAGCACTGCTCTTCTGTGCCTTTTAACAAGTCATAAAACAAAACCCCCCATGTTGAATCCTGTGTGTCAACACAGCAGTACATTAGATAAGACGGTGCACTTCAATTTTCCTGGCAACAGCTTTTCCCGGCCGGGATAGCCTTTAGGCTGTTGGCAGCCTCTGGAAGCGCACATCGAAGGGTTAGACCAGTACCACCTGCATTAAGATGGTCTTAACTTTGGGAGTCAGTCAGTAAAGGAGGGAGGATTCAGTGATTACAAATGAGGAAATAGAAATAGCTTGTGTGCACACAGTGGGAATGACATTTTTCTTTTCCCCTCCTCAGCTTGGATTTCAAGCATTTAGTTACAATACTTATTTCTTCGAGATGATTCAGTCACATTCCCAAGATGCCGCTCAAATGACTCACCGATTTCTCAGGCTTCTTTTTTTTTTTTCATTCATAAAGTTCAATAACTGAATTATTATTCAGTTATTGAATATAACGCATATAATGCATAATAAAGTCGCAGGAGTGAGATTCAAAACCGGTGTCATTTAGTATTTGTACTTTTGAACAGACGTACACATCAGTGGAAGAGTGAAGTACGAAATATGGACTCGAACACCCGCTGAATCTAGTCGGGTGTTCTCAATAAACATGGCAACTTATTGCTTCTTGGCGACAAGTGAAGGGCGACTTGTTGTTCTGCTCGTCACCGAGTACAACTGGGAGGCTAGCGATAGCTCACATTAGCCAGCGATTAGCCGAGCTATGTTAGCTAGCCTGCTGCCTCCTGCTCTACACATCTGGCGGTTCAGACCCCCAATCTGTCTGTCTCAGTTGCTATGAGCTCGGGTAAGTTGCTCTCCTTGGCGGTGGTTACAATGTAGCTCACATGTGTTAAATGACTCAATGCAGTGTGAAGATGTCTGGGCCAGACGAAGCGCGACGCAAGTACATGCCAATTACATTTTACTCGACGGTACGCTGAGAAGGTCACGCAACAATTTGAATCAGTTGTTCTGGAGACAAATCAAAAATGTGGACAATAGTGAAGAATAGCACTGAGAACCTTTCACGTTAGTTTTAGGCTTTATCGTTCACAACACGAATTTCTAAACTGCAAGTAGCAGTGACAGACAGGTAAGAGGCGCTGTCGTCGTGAAGTCAAAGGTAACTACTCTCACATAAAACTTTTTCTGGTGTCCTTTTAAGTGTTGTAAGGACATTTTTTGAAGTTTTGGAAGCAGAACTCTTAAAAATACTTCAGGAAGGTTAAATAGTGCGTGCCTAGTGTGCAGCATGTGTGTGTATTCACACATGGCATGTCGATGTGTCCACAAGGTCATTTGGCATGTTTAGTGAAAAAAGAATAAAAAAAATGCTTAAAAAAATAAAGGGAACACTCAAACAACACAGTATTACTCCAAGTAAATCAAACTTTTGTGAAATCAAACTGTCCACTTAGAAAGCAACACTGATTGACAATCAATATCACCTGCTGTTGTGCAAATGGAATAAACAGGTGGAAATTATTTTCATATTTATTTCATTTATTCAGATCTAGGATGTTATTTGAGTGTTCCCTTTATTTTTTTGAGCAGTGGATATGTATATATAAAGAGAACGGTTTTATGTATTTTTTAAAAATGTAAGCTTAAATTACTTGATTAAATTAAGTTTAAGTTTCTGGTATTCGGTAATTTGGTCAAATACTGAATGAACTGAGTTTATAAAAAGTGAATGAGAGCTTTAAGCTAATGAGCTCGCTCCTCTGTTAGCTTTGCGGCTACTAAAGAAATTTATCCAAAAAATGTACCTCAGGCCTGGAGCAGACAGGAACTAAAAATTTCAAGGTAGACGTTCTGGGACGAGAAGCCCGATCCACCCGTTTGGCAGCGGTTTGAATTATTTAACAATAGCGGTTCCACCGAAGAAATAATCTGAAAGCTTGATGTTATTTTTCTATTATTTCCATTCTGTTGTTCAGAAACTGAATTCGAGGATTTCTATTCAATTTAACAGAGAAGAAACCGGCCTTGTGAAACAAAAAAGAATATAGATCGGCTTGATATCAATCAAAAGCACTGCCCCACCCTTTATTACTCACCCCGCCAACTCTGCCCTCTCTGAAGTGATTCCATTAGCAAGCTAAACTTAATTTACAGCCCGAAGGAAGCAACACGCATGGCAATATCTTTGAGACAGATGAACCGGATGCTGTGGTTCTTCTTTTTTGAAGGGAACAGAGTGATTTTGACGGCTAAAACGTGCGAGCTGGCTTTCCAGATCAGCTTCTTTTGTGCTAAAAAATTGTCCACTGAAAACGACTACAATCAGAAATTTGAACACGCTGGGATAGGCAGGTTTTCAAATTGCATGGAGCAGTTTTAAATACAGAAGAAAAAAAATGCATTTGTTCTTCAAAACACATTTAAAACTTGTTCCACAGCGACAGGTGGTGGTACCTCAACTTGGTACAAAGCAAAATTGAACGAATTAAATTGAAAATCAGAAGGTTACATGAGAGTTTTTAATGAATATTTGAATTATGTGATATTTAATTGTCTGCCTACAGGCTTTTCTCATGAGCAGCCTTCAATCCCCTTCGGTGCAGATACGCCACACAACGCATGAAAGGAGGCAAATACTCACCCTGATTAAAATGCACACCAACTTTCATCTGATCACTTGGTCAACATGACTCAGTGAGTTTCAGTGTTTCAGCTCAGTAAGTGATCCTATTGCTGTGGGGACAGCCAGTCAAACATTGGTGCAGTTAGTCGAGGGCGGGGTATCGGCCTTGCTGCGCATCTCCTTGATGTCGTTGAGCGGGCAGTCGACGTTGCCGATCTGGCACTTAAAGACTTGCTTGTACGCCTTCCTGAAGTTCTCCGACAAGAAGGCGTAGATGACGGGGTTCACCGACGAGTTGCTGTACGCCAGGCAGTGCGCGGCCACCCGAAACACGAAGGAGGCCTCGGTCAGCGGAAAGTTCCCAAACTCCACCCAGAGCTGGACGATGTGATGAGGGAGCCAGGACAGGCAGAACACCACCACGACCACCAGCACGGTCTGAGCGGTCTGGGAGAACATGCAGGGCGAAGAAAAGTTATGTTAGCTCTTAAAAGGAAATAAGGGGGAATTTCCAGTTTTTATTTTAGCTTTTTTTGTTATAAAACTGTTTTTTTCACAAGTTTGTAACTGTTATTTTGTGCTACATTGTAATCACATGCTAATATTTTATTTTCCATATGACATCAGGAACCTGGCTTGACGCATACATTCAACATGCGTAACTCTTTTGACCAACAGTGTTGTAGCTCTATGCATAGATGATGTGCCTGAGATCAAACAAGACAATCGGTGTGATCCTAATGTAGTTAATCATGTTCTGTTTTGGGGTTTTTTCTAACCACTCTCAGACCTGTACATTCACAAAATAACTTAAAAAGAACCTCCAGTTCAAAAACAACCAATCAGAGTCAGGAGGAAGGTCCTAGCGATGTCAACCATGCTCATGGATGTGTAGCTAAATGTGCCAATCTCAGAGAAACTACTTACAAGGGCAGGAAAACTGTTTTCTGCCATCATCGGTGGCCATACTAACTAGCCTGAGCGTTCCTGGCAGACTAGGAAGAAGCTCTAGCGTAGCAAAGAGCCAGCGGGGGATGGCTGCTGGCTCTGATTTTGATAGTTTCAACAAATATGTAAAAATAAATATCTACCAATTACACTCTGCAGTCTAAGTGAGCCTTCTTTCCCCTCATAGTTGTTGCATAAGATAGCTCCAAACTGTGGACAAATCCCCTTTTAAAAAAGAAATGAATAAGTATATATATTTTTAAAGACTAACTAGAATTTCATCGGTTTAAATCATTTCCTCAGACATTTCCCTTGATTTAAATGTTTTGTCTTGTTCTGTAACTATTTAAGTACAAGAAAGACAGTGTGATTGCTAACTGTACTTTTTATCATTCACATAAATTCAATTTCAACTAAAATGCTAATGCTATCCTTGAAATTGTCACATCTTTGAACTACAGATTTTAAAATATATGTAATTTAAAATATATGTAATTTAAAAATATGTATATTTAAGAAACATATCTCATCTGTTTCTTTAAAATATTTAGGAAGATGGCTCTGATTGGGGTTGATTTTTAATGAAAAAAATGAATATATTTTGTTTCAATAGTGAGAATTTTGATCCCTAAAGATATCCAACATAGTCATTATTTTTCAAGGGAAGGTGCGGGGAGACAGTACAATAAATCCATAGGTGCATCGAAGGCAAGCTGTGTCTGCTGATTTTCCTTAAGTATTTTTTTCACAATGCGCACAGAGCCAGCGATGCGGCATTCCCTCCATATCTTGCTACAATAGGACTCTAAATCGTGTTTTTCTTTCCCTTGTTAGCTCCGTTTGGATCTGCGGCCTTTGGGAAAAGCAGCTCCTCTCCTGGCCTACATGCCAGCAATTTGTGGGACAGCGAGCGGCCGAGAATCAAATCATAACAGTGAACCAAATGATGGAATTCAGAGCTGAAGGGGAAGCAGATCTCTCAGTGGGTAGCTTCTGACCATCCCGTTTGAACACACCCCATAGCTCTCAGGTAAACAGAACCTCTTTCCACGGATTCAGACGTCCAAACCTCTCAAAGGCAGAGGGGACCAGAGTTCACCAGAACACAAAGTCTAATGCTCACTCATCTACAGGGAAAACGTATGTACCCGTCGCCACGAAGTCATAATATTACAAGAATGAAGTCGTACGCGAATTAAGTCATGATTAGTTTGACTTTAGTCTCAAATTCTGTTCACACATGAATTATCTCTCTTTGCTGGACTGTCTTCTGTAAACTCAAAGGAATGTTGTGTGTAAAAACATGAGCATTTTCTGGCATCTTTAAATAGGTTGAAAGAGCCCCATCCTTAAAACGCCTGAAATTCATGTATCTGAAACGAAGGCCTTAAACTGTCTTATGTTCACGACAAACAAAAGCTACATAATCACAAGTCTTAAATTCAGTTGTGGCATGACTATTTAATCTCCTAGATGTATTGTTTTCTCTTTCTCTCATGGGACTTTTCTGTCAGGCAAAAGTTTGAGTCGCACGGAGACATCTTCGTTGCGTTCTGTGACCCGCGGCGGTTGAAGCTACCGCTAACTAGCTGCTAATAAACACTTGTTAATAAACACACAAGAAGTTTAAAGTTTAGCAGATGGTTAGGGGACTACAACAGAGTCCCTTAACTGTCCTCTGTATTTATAGTTTTAGGATTTTACCTTTTATTCAAGGTTTTTAGACCATTAAAAGGGTCTAAAAAAAAACCCCAAAACGTCTTAAATTTGATTGGCTGAATCCCTAAGCAACCTGGGTGGCAGTCAAAGTCACCTAAACCAAACTAATGCTCGGTTTGAACTTTATCAAGTCATTTTCAGCTCGATGGCCAAATTGTTGATTTTAATCGTAAAAACTGAATAGGTATTAGGTATGCAGTATTATTATTGAAACACTAATGACTCGACGCGTTGTTCACTGTGACTGAAGGTGGTTGAATGCTACCGCGAGTGGCTGCGTTTTTCACTTTTGTCTCAGCTTAAGCGCTGAAAGTTTTCTTTCGGACAAAGAAACTCAAAAGTGTCATGAATTTCTGTCGTTTTTTTTTTTTAAAGGATCTCTGAGTGTTTTGTTTGTGTTTGGAGGATCAACACAGATTCAAATTCCACTCTCCTGACTCATACTGCTGAAAGGGCCTCCGTCGTGGGCAGAGAGCTGAAATCTTTGATTCTGCAAATTTGCAGCAACAACGCCAAAACATGCTCACTTTTCACGCATTTCAGACACTCAGTAAGTTTGACCTCGTTTTGATTTCAGGACATGACTCGGTCCTTCACTCCCTTTATTTTGGACCTTTCTCTTCCTGGAAAGGTAAGCCGTGGGATTTATATTGTTTTGCAATCTATTTCCTAACGGACGGACTCATATGATGTGACAGGCTTCTCTAAATTCCCGCTGGGTGCATCCTCCTTTGTCTGCTCAATGCTGAATCAGACAATAAAGCGAGCCAGAGAGAGAACGATGGGCTGACGGACGCCGATATATGGGGCCGGTAACAAGACGAGAGAGTCTGTGCAGAATTAAAAGATAAGCCGGAGCCACGCATTTCCAAATTTGGTTATGTTTTTTTCGGTCACCCTGGCTTTTTTTGTTCTGCTCACTGTCGCATCCGTAACGCTTCAAAAGCAAGCTTGACCAACGTTTGTGTGTTCTCTGTTGGGAGAATCACAGACAGGATTGTGTGTACCTACTGCAAATTTGCACCACAGAGAGAACCGACACCAGCGTCTGATTTTGCACAAACCTGAGGCCCGTTTTATCACTTTTCACTCAGGCTAAAGGTTCCCGAAAAAATGTGTCACCGTCATGTCCCGGGTTGTTTATTATTCTGTGTTCCTAAGTCTCTTTCTTTGATTAGATCAGTTTGTTTATTTTAATCTTTCTCAGTGATTCTAGTTTTTTATTGTCTCTAGTTGCTCCTTGTTGCTCTAGTTTCATTGTTTCTTAGGTTATTCTTTAGTGTTAGATTTATTTTCTCGCCCCCTGTGCCACTTTTGTCTCTTTCTCTCGCTGCACACCTGCAATCAGTTTACTTAAACACTTCTGCTCTTCTCCTTCTTTGCTGGTTCCTCCTGTTTTATCCAGTTATTTTCCCTGTTTTTCTCAGTGTTCCCTGCTGGCTTTTCCCATGCATTTCCGATTTTTGTTCTGCATTGGCTCCCTGTGGTGTTTGTGCAAGTTGCTTTTGATTATTATTATTATTAAAATGCGAAATCTACTCGCCACCTCTGCCTCCCTGCATATAAAACCCACATATTGCGACGGTCACATTTAGTTAATCCCTCCTGTTTTCCCTCCAAGCTTCCCTCAAAGTCAGATGCTCTCTTGCATAAGCGTCAGAAAAGCTCAAGGCTACAAAAAGAAAAAGTGTTCATTTGAAAAAAAAAACAACAACAGATCAAAACGCAGCTTGATCTGCCCGTTATCTCCTTCATCGTTCTTAGAATTACAAAAAGGTTGTTTTATGTAACGTTTAATCAGTTTCCTGATGACTTAACTAAATACTTAAAGAAACAAGATTCAAAGTAATGCAAAGATAACAGAGAAGACAATGAATGAATTCTCATGACAAATGCATATTTTTCCAAAATCAAACAAATTATACACAAACGTTTAAAACATTTCTCTCATTTTTTGCGTCTGTTTAACATAGTCCAAGCAGATGGTGAACATCAGCTGGAGAATTTCAAAGGTTTAGTGCTCAACCTGAGAAAAGGTTGAGTTGAAGCCTTAGCTTTGGATTTGCAGTAAATCATGGATAATAAAGGAGAGTGATGTAAGCGAATGAAAGAACCCCACACGTTGCCTTCCCATATGTACGACTGGAGTCCTCTGTCTTTCTCATTGTTGGAGCATTTAGGAATTTGGTTGTTTCTACTGACCTAAAAACAAGAGATGTTTGGTTGTTTTTTAACTTCAGACAGTGAAGAAAAAGGTGTGTCTCGTTTTAACTTCCGAAATGTCAAGCTGCTTGATTCATTCGTGAGGGACACTATCACAGCCTCAGAAGCATCAGCTGTCCCCCCTGTCTCACTTTATAGACGCTACTAGACAATTTTAGGCTAACTTGGCCAAATATTAATTTTCCTAATTATCCATACCCATCTGTGTGCTTCATCTGGAGGCCTGGGTAGCTGAGAAACAAGCACTCAGGGCCGATCCTGGCTGTTTGTTGAGCTGACTGGTACAACACAGGGACGCCAATAAAACGTTATAGCTTAGCGAGGTAATTATGTCGGAATTGTCGGAAGTGTTTTAGTTTCTTGCAGCCACACCATTTCTGTCTGCCCTTGATGTGTGGATTTGCAAACAGCGCTGGGAACGACCTCGGTCTTTCCAGCTGTCAATCACGTTGGATTTCCCTGAGCTAACAGTGCTGCTGACGAGACTTTTTCCATACACAAAAAGTGCCTCTTGATTTTTTTTTTCCCTGTGTGGCACAAGCAGCTTATTATTATATATATATATTTTCTTTATTCCTTTTTTGATATGTAAAATATTTTCTGATAGTAGATGAAAGTAAAATCATCTCTGTTGGAGGTGGATCAGCTAAAAAAACAAACTTGGAATATAAATTAAGTTCACTAACCATCTACTACATTGATCACATTCTTTAAAACACAATGTGAGACTTATAAAACTTGGATACTATTTTTATTCAAAGCTTTTTGCCATAAGGATCACCTTAGAACTAAACATGAAAACTGAAGTTAAACCAAGATGACAGTGTTTCATATTATTTACGGGTGTTTTCACACCTGATAGTTTAGTAGATTCGATTTGGACCAATAGTCACATTTTTAGCTTGCGCAGTTCACTTTCCTGCTGCTCAAACGAAACAACTATGTTTCCTCCTCGCTTGTGGCGGCGCTGCACCAAGAACCGCTGATGGAAACAAAAAAAATGAAGAAAATCCTGAGCACAACTTCTTCAGGACATGTGGAATAAAATGGGGTGAGATTTTGGGATTTCTCTTTTGTTTGTGGCAAAAGACCACAAGCTATTTCTCCCACTAGCTCTAGATTTACGCATTTGTTTTGGTTGTATTCACCCAGAATGCTGTTTGCTTTTGTCCATTTCCTGCTTTTTGGAGCCCCGAGTCTGCTTTTCATTCCTATATGCATTCGAATCACACCAGAGTTCGCTTTTCTGGTCCGAAAATGCATTCGCATCCAAATGAACATCTTAGTCAAACAAACTAGAGTTCGATTAAACGGGAATGGCTTAAATGCTACTTAAAACACTTTTTGTTTAGTTTTTTTTAAACACAAGCTAGCTTTGCTTAAGGCATTTTTTATATTTTCGCAAACGTGTTGTCTTGCAAACAAAATGTATTTTTAAATCTCTAGTGACATCCAGTGGTGTAGCTGTAAATTGCAACCAAATGAATACCAGTCTAAAGGGAAAAAACAAGTCAACCGCATCTGAATGATGCAGCTGCTTTGGTCAGAGTTGAGGAACGTAGAAGAAGAGCATTTGTGGAGGTACAAACTGTGTTGAAAACTTTTAGTTAAAGCGATTTATTCATCATCACTAATCCTGTGTAATTTCTGCTGCAAAACACACATTTTTTCATTTAAAAAAAAGAGACAAGCCCACTGTTTAGAATTTCTACAACTCAAGAAAAGGATCAAACCATGAAGCAGCTTATTCACAGGCCTGTTTCACTATTGATGCTGATGTTTGAAGGCTGCAAAACAAAGTGAGTGAAGATTATTAGACCGAGTTCTGGCTTTGAGTCATCACCGGACTTTTGACATCACTAATATGCCAGTTTGTTTTTCCTGTGAAATCTGTTTGCTGTTTAACACCCCTTTGTCCCTTTTTACATAAAAGCTGCCCCTGAGGAGTTTTCACCAGCTGGCTTGATGCTGGTGAAAACATATAGGTTTTATCCACATATAGGTTTTAAAGAACAACCCCGCCCCCCAAAAAAGCCACGGCCAGGTACAATTTAATTGAGACAAATGGGTGAAAGACTGCAGCTGATTTGTTTGCCTTTCTGTAGGCTCATGATTCGTTTTTCATCGATTCTCCAAAGAGTCTGCAATGCCTTACTGTGGATTAATCTTGTGTGATGAAACACACAACACAAAATAGAGAAGTTCAGTTTGGGAGCCACAAATGCATAGAAATACAGGTCCAGAAAGAGACACAAAGTTTGACAACATATTCTCTCTGACATCTGCATCTCTCAAGGACACAGGCGTCAAACTCCAGTCCTCAAGGGCCGCTGTCCTGCAGTTTTTAGATGTGCCACAGGTACAAAACACTGGAATGAAATGCCTTAATGACCTCCTCCTTGTTCTCCAGAGTCTTGCTAATCACCTAATTATTCTGTTCAGCTGTGGTGCAGCAGAGGCACATCTAAAAGTTGCAGAATACCGTCCCTTGAGGACTGGAGTTTGACACCCCAGCCCTCGGAGCACATCTTGTATTTATTACGGTTGCACTGTCGATAGCCGAGCCATAATAACCCCCACCTGTTCTCAAGCTCTGTTCTCAAGCTTTGTTCTCAAGCTCTGTTCTCAATTCCCCATTGATATTGCATGTCTAGACTGGTCAAACTGGAAGTGATTTACTGCACCGAACAAGTGCAGCAAATCACAAGAATATCTGACATTCCTGCCTCATGTCAAGCCTCACACAGCAAAGTATGTTTGCAGAGACATATGCGATCACATCAAGGCACATTTACATTCCCCTCTCAAGCCATGCCTGGAGTCTGCAGCCTCCCTGCCCTTTTTCCCCCCACCTCGCTGGATAGCGGAACAGATAACTGGCTTCAGTAATGACCTCCTTCAAAGTAGAATGTGACAGCGAACAGGAAGTGCAACGGCAATGGTAATTCTCTGTTGGAGATCTGGGAAAAACGAGCAAAAAAGTTCTTTCTTCTGCAGGGCTGAATTTCTGGAAGTGATAAAGCAACCAGTAGATGAAGTAAATATGGATGCTGTTACAAACACAAAATCTTCCCAAGTATTTTTGGTCTAGTTTCTGGAGCAAGTATGGTAGTACAGTTGAAATAAAATCAAACTAACTCCCAGCGAAAACCTGCAGCTGCGGCCCTTTACTTTAGCACCAAATCATCCGAGCACCAATCAAACTACGGCTTCATCAGCCACCTGTGGTATTTCCTCGAAACGCTTGCTCTCAACACACCATAGGCGGTCCATTCCTGTTGACTTGACGTGCAGATGAAGCCATTTTGTCATGTGCCACAGATGAAGCCTCTTTTGTACCTTTACGGTCTTGTTTGTTTCAAATCCGTCTGCCACAAGATGTTTGTTTGTTTCAAATCCGTCTGCCACAAGATGTTTTGTACGAACCCGAAATGGATCAATTTCGGTCCATTTTAAGGACAGTTAAAGACTTACAGTAACAATTTCTCATTGGGGCCAAAACCAAACAAAACATATAAATAATTCAAGTCAAATCTACTTGGGGAACCACAAAATTTGTATTCACTACTTTTTTAAATCAAAATCGTAAAAAGTATTTGATCTTTGTTACATTTACCCGATCAGCAGGAAATTAAATGCACATTATTTGAATGAAACAATCAAAGTATAGACTGTCTCCTGTAGGAAGAGTAACTGTAGATTATTCTATATTTGAAACAAACAAACAAAAAAGTCTTCCAGGTAGACAGTAAATGATTTCCAAAATTTTTTGATGGAGTTGATGATCTTTTTTTGCACCTCTTTTTTTTTTTTATTTTTTTAAACCAGTCTCTGCACCAACTGCCTGGGCTGGCAAACCAAACGTAGAGCACTCTTGAACCGCAAATGGGTTCCCGGGCCACAGTTTGAACAACCCCAGCTCTATATTTCGCTCATAGTTTGGAAATGAATGAAGAATCCCCATGTAAACAATGCTCACCAGAAATAGGTGGCATAGAGTTGTTTTCATTTGACCAGCAGTCCTAATTGTCCACCGCCAAACCAGCGAGCCACCAAACTTTTCAGTCCATTAGGTGGGATGTTTCTGTAGTTTATATTTTTGTCACGTGGCGCCCAGCGGGCTGTGCCGTATCGCCCCTATCCCAAATGGCAAATGAATGCAGAGTCTGGTGGGGAAATGCATGCAGCTCTCTGAGTGTATGCTGGACAGCGTGGTGTTGTTGTCATGGGGAGTTTCCAGAAGGCATTTAACTGTGATGTAAGAGTTAAATGCCTTGTCAAAGGAAGAACAACCTGCAGTGGATAAACTGATCTGGATACATGGTGAGTGTCTCTGAATACAATGATTGATTGATGCCCTAGCATAAAATCACATTCATCCATCATATCTAATTCTGATAATTATAGCCGCCCAGTGATGGAAAAGAAATCCAGTGAAAACGTTGCAGTTGGAACATTTGACTGAGTTTGATTATGGTTTATGTTTTTTACAACTACTAACATGTGGATGTTACACATGTAAAGAATTCCCCATTGATATCACATGTCTAGACTGGTCAAACTGGAAGTGAATTGTATTGCAATCAACACGGAGTCTTTACAGCACGTTTTGAGGTTTAGGAAGGCGTCCATGGTGGAGGTCTGCGGATCCGTGCAGGGCTGAGGGAGGGGGACGGTCTGTCCAACAGCAATCAAGTGAGAGGTGAAGAAAATGAAACGAAACCTATCTCTGCCCTGGTACAGCTGATGATGTTGTTGATGATGACATTTTTAAAAGTGTCTTTTTCTTTTTATTTATTATTCCAAGTGTAGAATAATGCAGGTCATAAACCACTCTGTTGTTTTTATGGCTCAACCTGAGCCATAAAACTGCTCTCTATGCGTACTTCTGAAAAGCTTCATAAATCTCATGCAGTGCTCAACAGATGTCCATTCACTGTTGACATGAGTATGTTCAAATTAGATTTTGAAATAACGATGATAAATCGCAGTCTGGCTGGCCACACTGCCATTTATTTATTTATTTTTCTGAAGTGTCGCTTAAGAGAAAAAGCAACACTGCGGAGTCGATTCAGTAAATGGACAAAAATCTGTGAGAATGTAAACAAGCAAACACCTCACTTTGTTTTGTTTTTTTTTTCTCTAGTGTTTATGATGCCAACCCCCTTCTTACCCCCAGGCTGCATCACTGCCCTGGGCAGACAGCCATACAACTTCTATACCCAAATGATTTGTTTGCTAATAAATCACAAAATGCAACAAATCTATGAACCGCTTCGATCCCTACCTTTTTCTTTGAAGCCTCCGACTTTTTGGACATATTTCTCAGCTTTTTGTGCAAGTGATTTATCACCTGTGAACAAAGCAGAGCAACAAAAACAGACACCAGATGGAGCTTGTGGTTGATCGATCATTTGTGCGCACTGACCCGCCCCGCGCGCCCCGCTTTACCTTTGCGTAACAGAATGAAATCAGCAGCAGGGGCAAGACGTATCCAAAGACGAACGTGCACACCTCGTAGACCTTCTTGTGGTTCTGATTCGGCCACACGTCCCAGCAGTAGGTCTCGTTCCTGCCGCCGTGGAACAGGTTGTAGTAGTGCATGCGCGGCGCCGCCATGGCCAGCGAGAGCAGCCAGATCGCCACCACGCCGACCAGCGCGTGCCGCGCCACGCGTATCGACGACGACTTCCTGGAGTGCACGATGGCGACGTAGCGGTCCACCGACATGGCGGAGAGCGTGAAGATGCTCACCAGCATGGAGACGGTGAAGAAGTAGTGGATGAACTTGCAGATGAAGGCGCCGAAGACCCAGGTGTTCATCACGTAGATGGTGGACTGGAAGGGGATGCAGAAGAGCAGGTAGAAGAGGTCGGCGATGCTCAGGTTGAGGATGAAGATGTTGGTGGTGCTGCGCGGCTTGCCCGGCTTGCTCCGGGCGAGCACGGTGATCACCATGGAGTTGCCCAGCACGCCCAGCGTGAAGATGAGCAGGAAGAACAGCAGCGCGATGTAGTTGCTCGTATCGATCCCGAACAGGTTTTTCTTCTCGCCGTCCTCCTCCAGCGCGCTGAGGTTCCACGGCTCTCCCACGAGCCACACCGACTCCGACAAGTTCATGACAGATTCTTGTTCTTGTTGTCAATTTATTATTATTTTTTTCTTCCACTTCACGCCACCGACTCCGGACGCGTCTACATGCGCGCTCCTGTTGGGTTCCCCCTTCCTCAGGATTCTCCACTTTAAATAAAATCGCGCGCTTCACTTTTTGCGCATCACTTTATATAACTCTCTCTGTCTCTCTCACACACACACACAAACACAAAGCCAAAGAAACATAAAAAGCGATATATTCCAACAGCTGGAAAGTCTTCCGTGCTGCATCAAACCATCCGCAGCACCTCGGAGGCGTCGGCCGGTCTGCGTCTCTCCCCCTGTTGCGCACCAGACGCGTCTGCGCGCTCTGGCTGCGCCGCTTCCAGTCTGTCTCCCGGTTCTCAGCATCTGGACCCGGTCTCGCACTTTAAATAAGAGGGGGAGTTTGTAGGGGGCGGGCCGGGCCGTCGGCGTCAGCAGCCATACCACCAACCATGAAATGCTGCGATGATGCTGGAGACGAGGAGGAGGAGAGAGGGAGGAGAGGTAGAGAAGCAGTTATTGTTCTGGGTCTCATTCTGCCCATTTATGAATCCATCCGTGTTTAATGTGGATGCTGGAGGTCAAGGCCGGTTTCTGAGACAGACTCTGGTGCCAAGAGCTGCACATCAATTTAAGGCTGGAGCGTTACAGAAGAGCGTTTCCCTACTGTTTTATTTAAAAGTTTGGGTGTGGGGGTTTCTTCTTTTTTGCCACAAAGGATCCAGTGAAGCTGCCTTTGCAATAATAATAATAACATAAAAGCATGTGTCTCTGAATCTTACTGATGCGCTGCAATGATGTGACTTATAAAAAGCCTTGAGTGCTTTGTATTTTATTTTGGGGCGTCACATTCAAAGGGAACTGCAGAGAATCGTCTGTTCTCCTTGCTGAGTTCTTGATGTCTGAGGTTACAGAAGAGCCCTTGAGTTGAATTCATCAATTCCATTTATCAAAACCAAAATACAGCTGGTCCTTTTTTCATGCTACCTTTAAGAGCTAACGGTCAAAATGGTCACTTTTCAAAAAATAAAAATAAACAATTACACACAGACGTCTGCTCACGTTGAGTGTTTGTTAGCGGGAACCTTGCAATTCTCACTGCTTCACTGTGGTTCTTCTTTTCACAGCTACTTGCTGTTTCCTCTGTTTTCTGACACTGAATCCAGTCCTTCGATGCATCTTTTCATAGCATAGCAGTGTGTGAAGCTCTGCCCCGACAGGCCCAGCTGCCATTCTGTCTGACAGCTGCATGGACGTGGAGATGGATGGACACATTTCTGTTTCATCCAGGGACGAAATGAATGTTGGAGTACAGCTGCACAGATCCATCCACGTGGCTGTACTCCAACATTTGTTGGCTTCCTTGGATGATTTTTTTTTTTTTTTCCCCCTCCCCAAAAAATGTGAATTTTGAAGTCAGGAGGTTTCCCTCAGACCTTTGACAGATGGGGAGGAAGTGCGGTGCCATAGATTTATTTTATTTGCCAAAACCAATGCAAAGAAAAAGTGAAAGCTATTCTTAAGAAGTGAATAATGTTCTTTAGGTTCAAGTTTATTTTTTTCTTTCCCGGTGGCTGACCAGATAATCGGTAAAATCCTTTCTGCTTTGCACCAATATGAACCTTTTGAAGCAAATGCCACTTCTAGATAAGTCAGTTGATACTGACTGGCCACATTTTTTATATATACATGTTATATTGTACATAAAAGGATAAAGTCTAGTAGATATTTCTGAAAAACCTCGTCAAACAGTCACAGACCAACGGGAGGAGAAAATGCAGACTGATTTTGACCGGCGGCGCTCGCCAAGAGGCGCAGATTCCCCAGCAGACTCGCAGGGTGAAGTTCAAGGTCATGGCGAGTTCTTCATAAAAACTTCATACATGAACTTTTGACTCGTCGTCCGCTGTGATGGGAAAACAGTTTCGCTGACCGTATCATACCACAGTTCACTGAAAACAAACGGGAGCGGCACACTGGAAAAACATTTATCTCCAGTAATGGGCCGGCTGTCAATCTGCCTTGCCCAGCAGATTGACAGGAGCAGACAGAAAGCAGTTTATTGATTTAGTTTTTATTTATTTATTTGTCTGTTCTATTGATTATTCACTGGGGAGTGGAGCCAATGATAAAGTCAGAAGTGCCAGACGCTCTTTCCCATTATATCCTTAAACAATTTAATTTTTCCACCAAGGTCAATAATTCATATATGAGCACTTTGCTAAATTGGATACATAAATGAAACCAGTTTTATTCCTCATAGCTTCTATTAGTAGGGAAATAACAAAAAAGGACCTTTTAACTTTCTACAACGCAAAACTTGATTTGAAGAATTTTGAATTTCATTTTACTTTGATGTCAAATAAACAGTCAAGCGTTTTTTTATTTGGTTTAAATTAAATGCAGCCTGTCGCACCGTTGCCGGTTTCTCTTACATATTTCAATGTCAAACAAAGTTCAGAGCGAATTCTGTCGTCACTCTAATTCAATAGATTTTAAAAAAATATACATAGATACAGAAAACTATTCACCCCCGGGGCGTCTGAACGTTAAAATCAGCCGTCCAGAGTTCAAACTCAATATCAACCTGGAGAAGAGAGAGGATTCAAACAACTTTCAATGTGGAATAATTGTTGTGGTCAAAATGTCACTGCTGTCCAGTCTTCATTTGTGAAAAATTGAAGTTACTAGAAGCACATTCATGACAAATGTGCGCAAAACTTTGTCAATATTCAGCTAATTAAAAAAAAAAAGGTGTGAAGCTGGTATGTTACACATAGTTATATGAACATTTGCATGTGACTAGTACCTCATCACTGCTGTGTACCGACTTTGTGTCGATAAAAAAAAAAAGGTTTTTGTAATCGCAGCGGAAGAAATAATCTTAAATCTGAACCCTGGTCAATCTATGTCTGAGTTGATTCGGCAACTAAGAAGTGGTTGCCAAATCTCTGCTGTTCTAAAGACAAAGAATAACAATTTAATTCACTTGAAATACAGACTTCCACACTAAACTGTTTAGTCTAAGTTCAGTCACAATTTAGTCTAATGGCTTTTGGATGTAGTTCTGGCTGCTGTAGCAGTGAAACCAGCCATTGAAAGGCAAACTGCACAGCGATGCAGTTCGCCTAAACGGTGTTTAGGCGAACTTTTATAGTTTCTTATGGAAATGGCTCTTTGATTTAATTCTACATCCTCTTTCATGTTCTGTCTTTGAATGCTTGGCTTTCACACACGCACACACACACACGTTTTTTTTTTTTGCATTGCACATAAAGTTGTTCTCAGGAGGAATATGTAGATTGGAATCTAGGTTTTTGAGTACATTTTTTTCCCTCAAAAAAGTCCCAAAGCGAAGGTTTACACTGCAGAAAATCACTTCTGTTATTACCGTTAAAGGGTACTTACACAACAGATTGCTACACTTTGAATGTCAGACAGAGCTTCTTTATTAGTTTCCCTGGTAATATCTTAGCATATTTTGTCAGGGAAAGAAAATTTGAAACACATTTTTATTATTTTCTTTTTTTTAACGTTTAAAACCTTTTTGTTGTGGACTGCTACAGTGCCCAGAGTGGTATGATGTTGCTCTATTACCTGGCAACAATCTGCCTCTCTGCTCCTGATCTGACACGGCGTGTTTCCGTTCGCTCCCTGCGGGACTCGGCCTGCGTCGAAAGCAGGAGCAGTTACGACCCAAACAAGCGGTCAGGGCGGCGTAACTCATCGCTTTCTGCTCCTGCCGGTCTCCCTCGCTCCATCCCCGCGCTCGCATCTCTGCAACCGTTTGTCTGTTGATACTGGGCCGTGTATATCCTCAGTTTATTTGTTTTGTTCAAAGGTCAAACATGGCAACTAATGCAAACAGACGGAAATAATCCGCTTTTATTGCACAATGTCATCTTAGGTGTAATATTGATGTTTTGTGAGCTGTAAAATGTGTTGATTTAGAGAATGCTAGATTATTATTGGTTTTATATATTTATTATGTAGTTATTAAACCTTCTTCCCTCCTTTTATGTCACTCGACGGCCTTTTGTAATGACAGTGGCTTTTTTTTTAGAATCTGATCCTAAATGAGGACATTCTTGTCGTACATACGTTCTATAATGCCGAGAATGTGAACACGCATTGAAAACCGAAGGTCATTTCACATTTTCAGTCAAATTTAATTTGATAATTGATTAGACCAAAACCACAACCACCACCATGAAGTATTACAAACTCTTACTCAACGTTCCAGCGAACATTTCTGGCCTTCAGTGCTGCGATCGTCGTCGTCTTCAAGGACAAGAGAGCATTGAGATCCGAGTCGGTCTTTGTCAGAAAGCTGCCGGTTGAAACGGCAAGACTGTTACAAGTCGCTTTAGTAAAGCGTTTGGCCTGAGAGCGATAAAAAAAATGCTTTGAATGCTTTCAAAGCAGTGGATGATTACGCCAGGAGTCGAGGCCAACATGACTCGGTCTTTGGAGGTGTGTGTTGGGCTGGTAGCTGCTGGATTCACTAGCTTTTTTGTGTGTGTGTGTGTGATCTAAAGACATACAGTCTGCCAAGAGAGAACCTTTGATTTTTTTAAATTTTTTTTTTATTTACTTTTTTTGTCAAGCAGAGATAATTCTTTGAACTGAAAGCAGGATCCTTCACTGCCAGTTCACGGAAAAAGACCTAAATGCACAAAACACAGCAGAAGAAGAAGCAAAGTTTGTAGATAAATAACCATGGGGGAGGAAGAAAAAGAAGCGAAATGTTATGTGAGCGAGCAGGCAGATCGATATACAGGCAAGCCAACGCCAGCGGACTTCAGGCGAGGAAGAATGTATGACCTCACAGAGAAACTGAGAAGAGTTAGAGGCAATGGGCAAGATTTAGCAAAAGGTGAAAAAAAGAACAAAACAAAAAGTGTTTTTTTTGTCCTACATGCACTAAACTGGGGTGAATAAAATGTCTGAGCAACAGGCAACGTGGACAGTCTTAAAAAGTCCAACATGTAAAATGATTTTAAAAAATAGTAATTAAAACAATTAAGGACAAACATGAGAAAACAGAGTGTCTTCAGTCAGAGGCTTCTTCAGATTCGCTGTGACACAGACCGCTAAGAGATCTCTCCTCGCAATGAGTCTTTGAAGAATCTGAATTACTGAGCTACAGCAACATGTAATTTCCCTTTTGGATCAACAAAGTATTTCTGAATTGAATTGAATGGGAGCTGACGGAGTGTTTGCGAAAGAAAATTGGTCGAGAAATTGATAAGGTTGCGCACAGAATACAAGGAATGAAACTGGAAACACCTGAGAGGAGTGCAGTTAAGATACACACACTGTTGGAAACCTGGTAGTAGGAGACAATATTTTCATAACACTGGAGAGCTGAGAGTG